ATATGGGTGGCCTGGAAGGTCCAGCGCGAGCCCTGCTGGTCGGATAGGGCCCAGAAAGCAGGGAAGGGTATATAGAGCAGCAGGACTTTGATCAGGCACTTTGTCTCGTACACCATCTGATCTCCCACAAAGGGCGCTGCATAGTCGAGAAAGTGTGGCAAAGGACTCGTTTTGCGATTCATCCGCCAGCCCTTGTACGCGTTCGATATGCAGTTCGAAACGCCGAAGATCATGTTGCCCGATGGCGGGCGCACCCTATAGCGCAATCTGCCGGCCACAAAGATCCCCATCGAGACGAACATCAGCACAGCGGGCACCCCGAATGCCAGGGAGTAGCAGTCCTCGTCCCCAAAGCATTGAACATCTGCGCGCAGGACGGGAGTGACCGCCGTGGAGATCATGGAGCCCGCATTGATCGCAAAGTAGAACAGCGAGAAGAACTTGGCCAGCTCCGCGCCCTGATCTGGCAGGCGGAACTGATCGCCGCCAAAGGCCGACACGCAAGGCTTGATGCCGCCAGTGCCCACAGCAATCATCAGAAGCCCCACAATGGTGACAATCTTAACAGGCATCAACGGTAAAGGTATCGCTCCAATGGCGACAATCATCGCCCCGACACTATATACGACCGATAGGTACAATATCGTCCTGTACTTGCCCAGCCAGCCGTCCGCAACGAGAGCTCCAGCGATGGGGAAAACGTAGACGAGCATCGTGAATACGTGAAAGAACACAGTCGCCGTCTCCTCGTTGTACCCCAGCTTTTGGGTCAGATAGAACACCAGTATAGCACGCATGCCATAATAGTTGAAGCGCTCACAGAACTCATTGCTAACGATGAATGCCACGGATTTTGGGTATTCCAGCAGCTCTTGCTTTTTCTCTGTCGCTTGCTGCTTCTCACTGATTGCCAGCTCCTTTGATTCTGTTGTTGCTTCAACGTCTGCAGCTTTCATTATTTATTGTTGTTGTTGTTATTCTTAAAAGTGAACTTTTGAAAAGTGCAAAATCAATCGATAGCTAATTAATAATTAATCTCTTAATTGAATCCAAAGAATCGATAATTATCGATCTTGTTATAACATTGCATAAAAATCACTTAAGCACTCACGTCTACTTCAGATCCATGTGAAATTAATTATTTTTATTTATTATAAAAGTTTCCAAAAAAGAAAAAAATAGGAAACAAATTCTTTAATGTCAATGAAATTGATTTAAATATAAAAAAATAAAACAAAGTTTCGTTTCATATTTGGTATTATTACAAATTTTATATACAATTTTTTTCATTATTTATTATTTTCTTATTTATTGAGTGGTTTCAAAGAGTGAACCGTTGCAAACCAGAATTTTGCTAACTTTTATACCAAAAAGAAACATGTTCAAAGATATTATTGAAAATTAAAAGTGTAATCGTGGAATGAAACGTACAGAAGAGGAAAAGACCCAGCCAACAGCGAAAGAGAAGAGAATCAAGCGCGATGCGCAACGCGGCTATTGGGCATCCAAAACAGAGTTCGTACTCACTCTCATCGGCTATGCCATTGGCATTGGCAATGTCTGGCGGTTTCCCTACCTCTGTTACCGCAGCGGCGGAGGTAAGTCCCCTACAAATCCCCAAATGGATATATGCCTACGTCAATGGGCGTATGGTATCATGTGCTCAAAATTTGTATACCCATACCCATTTCTTATTTATGTTAAGGGGTTGTATTGGCAATCGGATTGAGAGGCATCTTCTTTATCTTTATAGAAATACTCTCTTTCATACAGGGCATCTCATAGTCAACCTCCAGTCCACTCTCCAGCAATTGACGATGAGTGAGTGAGCATTTCAATGAGTCTTCATTGCTCGTTTCACTCAGTTGTGCCTCGCGCGCTGCCTCTGTGCTTAAGCTAAAAATAGCGCATGCTCTGACGTCATGCACACTCACGCACACACACACACACTGCACAGCAAAGCACAGTCTTGGTGTGCGTGTTTACAGCGAGTGCAGTGTCTATATTAAGCTCCACAGCGATTTTTGTAGCTTTCGAGTGAAAGCTGAGGTAGCTTTTGTTGCTGTTTCGACGGCGGCCAGCGGAGGCCTTCGATAGCTCAGTTGGTAGAGCGATGGACTGTAGAGTTTTCGAGGTTGATGAATAAATCAAGGCTGAAATCTATACCTAAACAATACACCTTTGGTCTAGATAACGCAATCTTAATCTTATTACCATCAGTTTGTGGAATCGATATGTTGAAATCCATAGGTCGCTGGTTCAAATCCGGCTCGAAGGATCTTACCTTTTTGGGAATTTCATTTTATAATTTTTTTTTTTTTTTTTTTTAAATTTACGTTTATTAAATTTTCAATTTAATGAACATAAATCTTTCTCCTGTAGTTACTATTTAAGTCTTAAAACAATAATATGTTGGCTTCTGATTCCATTCCTTTTATGCCACACTCACGCTCTCTCTCTCTCTCTCTCTCTCTCTCTCTCTCATTAATGAGCTGTAAATAATTCGTAAAAGTTTTTTAAAAATTGGTCATGAATAAAATGAAGGTTCATGCTCACTCCCCAGCCATCTAATAAATAACGTTTCATTTATTCCAGGTGCATTTCTCGTGCCATACATGCTGATGGTGATTCTATGCGGCATTCCATTATTTTATATGGAAGTGCTGATCGGTCAATTCTCAAGCACCGGCTGTACCAGTATGTTTCGTCTGGCTCCTTTACTAAAGGGCACTGGCATCTGTATAATGATTGTGAATATGTATTGTGTAAGCTACTATTCTGTTATCATCTCGTATCCCATACGCATGTTATACTATAGCTGTTGGAAGACAGTGCCCTGGATAAACTGTGAGCAGTCATGGAATACGAAAAACTGTACAAAGATTGAGGGCGTAAGGGCGTACGATTCAGATTATATTTTCATTAATTTATTTTTATATATTTTTCTTTCATTTTAATAATATAGGTGAATAATGCTACTGATAAATTCGTCACGCCAGCCGATGAGTTCTTTCAGTAGGTGAAACTGGGTTTTCTCTATATAGAGGATATCTTCATTTTTGTCTTCATTTCAGTCTGGAAGTCTTGCGCATCTCGAGCAGCATTGCTGAACTTGGTACCATTGTGTGGGAGCAGTTGATTTGCTTACTCATCACATGGATCATAATATTCGCATGTGTGGTGCGAGGCATAAAATCGGTATGATATCGATAACTTATCGACACAGTAACAAAGCTATACATCTAACATTGTTTCACTGACCAGGTGGGCAAGGTGGCTTATTTTACAGCACCGTTTCCCTATTTACTGCTGACTATACTTTTCGTCCGTGGCGTCACCTTGCCCGGCGCCGCGACTGGCATCAAGTTCTTTTTCTATCCGGAATGGCATCGCCTGCTTGACTTGCGCGTCTGGTCGGATGCGGCCGTACAAATGTTTTTTGGCCTCGGTCCAGGCTGGGGCGGCATCATCAACATGGCCAGCTTCAATCGCTTCCACAACAATGCCAAATTCGATTCAGTTTTGGTCGTAATGATCAATGTCTTCACTAGCATTTACGCCGGTGTCGTGGTCTTTTCCGTGTTGGGCTTTTTTTCGAGTGAGTATGAGGCATATACCTATATAAATACTACTCTAACTAACTAATGTTTGCTTATTGCTAGAAATGTCGGGTAAACCTGTGAGAACAGTGGCTACTTCAGGCGCTGGACTGGCCTTTGTCACATATCCCGAAGCCATTGCCAAGATGCCCATTCCACAACTATGGGCATTTCTGTTCTTCATAATGCTCTTCCTCCTGGGCATTGACAGTGTGGTAGGTAGAAGTTAAAGAATCCCTTTGTGAAAATTAACTTTTTTTTTTTTTATTCCGTCAACTCGAGCTTGGCTTAATTCACTAAAAATTATATACTAATTTCTAGCTATGATTTCAATTGAAGATTGAGATATCGATAAAAAGAGAAAACATATATTTAATAATGGAATAATCAATAATTTAATCACTTATGATAGTAGATATATATATATATATATATATAAATAGTTAAGATATGTACTTAATATTTAAAGATTTTGTCTATAATAACCAATATACTCATTTCACTTTGAGTAATTCAAGGAATATTCTATGCTATGCTAACCTCAATCAACTCGTTCTTCTTTTCACCTCCACTTTAGTTTGTTCAACTGGAGGCCATCACAACATCGATTCTGGATGAAATCCAAGTGTTGCGTAAATACAAGGTAGTGCTGACCACAGCCTTGTGCATCTTCTCCTTCGGCTGCTCGATCATTATGTGCACCAATGTGAGTACTTGGTGGAGTGGATGTAGAGCAACTAACGACAATTATTATTTGTAGGCTGGCATGTATATACTGCAACTATTCGATTGGTATTCATCGGCTTTATCGATTATTGTCATTTGTTTGGTGGAGATTATTATGGTTATGTACATCTATGGCACAGATAATTTCTTAACAGACGTCGAGTTCATGTTGGGTAAGCGGCCGAATCTTTTCTGGAGGATTAGTTGGAAGTATATAACGCCTATAGTGTTAATTGTAAGACCTCAGTTATACACATTGCTCTACTTAATATGATAATTATATATCTCGACATTTTTTGATATTTTTAGTTCATTCTTCTGACCAGTATTATATTTCTAAGAGAAATCACGTACAATGGAGTCAAGTATCCACAGTGGGCCGTTGTGCTGGGCTGGCTTAGTTTTGTGTCCTCGGTTATATGGATACCGCTGTACATATTCTTTATTATGATCCTCAAGCGGAACACGTTGTGCAGTAGCCTGAAAAGGCGATTGAGGCCACTGGACTGGACCCCAGCGGATCCGCAAGATCGCGAGGAATACGAAGCCTTCAGACGGCAACGGAGATTACCTAAATTTATGACAGAGTCAGAGGCAGAAGGCCCGGCGACAGCTGAGAAGTAACAAATCTGCAATATTATTTGTATTTGCATATGCCATAAAGTGGTTTAAGAATTCAAAATTCAAACGTCTTTTTATTACATTGCGAACAAGAATAACAAATGCTTTCAGCTTCACAATTCATATCAATGCACCTCCTCGGTCACCTCATAGAGCTGATGTGTAATGTCGGCATTGCCCACAACTTCCTCGTACTGCTGGCGATCCTCCATTTCAATGGGATACCAATCGTTGGGGCGACAGGCGCGCCTGAACCGATTGCAAAAGCTGCCCGTGTTCTGGCACATTATCAGGACGCCATAGCCGGGAATGAAGAGCACTGACAGCAACACCACAATCAAGCTCATGGTTACCATAATGTCAGAGCTAAATGCATGCTCAAACGAGGAGATAAATATGCCCATGACCTGGGAAGGAAATCAACAGAACATAAACATAAGCAATCTTCACTGCATAATCATTAATTGCTTACCAAGGCAAAGAGTAGAAATAGGGGTGCTATAAAGCGCAGTATGAATATCTTCCACGAGGCAAAAGGTTCTCCAAGCATAAACTCGATATCGCGCTGGAAACGCTCACGTCCATAAACCCAAAGTATGGCCAGCAGCAAAATCAAGTGCATCAGGCTGTGCGTCATAATTGCGTCCAGTGATAATGCCGAAAAATATTCAGCCCCATTCTATTATAAAGGAGATAGAATGAGATGGTTATATATAAGAAATAAATTAGAAAATAAAATAAATAAATATAAAATAAAATATAATTCTAAAAAAAATGTATGAAGGAATCGAATATATTATTAAATAAAAATATCAGCTCTTAGATACATACAGTCGTACAAAAGAACAGGGATGCGAGTGACAAACAGCCTAATGTACCAAAGATAACTTCCTGTTTGCGGTGTCGCAGCATCTCAAATTCATCGAACAGGCTCGTAAATACAGAAAATAACTGTGTGATCTGTTAGGTGAGAAAAAATAATATATGAAACTTGTTCACTTTAAATCGAAAATTTTTAAGTATATTCAAAATTAAAATGCCCATTCTATTCAATCTATATATGTATATATATATATAGACTATGGGATGTATTATACACATACTAGTGTAAGTCCTCATTTGTAAACGATATAGGAAATTTGTACCCACCATCACAATAAGTGAGCCCATCAATAACATGGTGTAGTAAAGTATTGTCCAAAAGTTGGGAAATTCCATTGTGGAAAGGATACTGGCAGTCGATAAGAACAATGCCCAATTGCCCTCCACATATGAGTTGAAAGTATCGGCACGAATTGCTGACATTTCATATAGATAAATATTAAAAAAAATAAAATAAAAGCAAACTTTATTAAGTAAATAATAAATAATATTCAATATTAATATTAATAATAATATTACAAATATTCAAACTGAAATTAATACTAATACGAATATTGATACCTTTTTTATAAGATCATTACTATGACCTATGGACGAGTGCTAGCATTTCTCAAGAGAAGTATAGTTATACTAATACTACAATACTTAATAATTCTAATATTAATAGTCTACTCACTTTCGAAATAATGTTTTAGCATAAAGGTGACCATGCCAAACAGTATATATACGAGTGTCTGGCCAAAGGCAATGATCCAGCTGTAGTTCATGATGTTGGTCTTGAAATTATTATAGCTAGATAAAGCTATGATGGTGCCCCAGCCGGATCCGAAAGCTTGCAGTACTACAACTGACATGCAGAGGCCTCCCTCGAACATATGCTCGAAATGCGGTTTCATATAGTGAACAATACCATCCAAGGCGCCCGGCAGAAAGAGGAATCGTGTCATACATATCAGCAACAAGACCAAAGTGAAGATCACCATATAGCGAATCAATTTACCAAACTGAGAAATCAAAAATTCATTAAAATACTATCTATAATAATAACTATCTAATAATTACCTTAGCAGTTTCGGAAAACTTGTAGAATATGAATGTTATTATGGCCCAAACGGCAATTGAGTAGCCCACGATGTGCCAGGACAAACTAGTATTTTCGGACATATGATAGGATTCAGTATCACGGGATCCCTCATAGTGATTTCTATTGGATAGTCAGGAGTGGCATTAAGAGTAGTTTAAAAAGCTGTTGCAAAACTTACTGAAAGAATATCGTGGATGGCACATGTATCAAAGTAAATGAATATGATTCATTGTAATTATCATAATCCGAGGACACAAGTGTCTCCACAGCTTTTTCCGACATGTTACAAACCTTTAATACAAGTTAAAATTTAAATACTAATTTGATTAGGCTATTATACATTCTCATACTTACAGTTGTTACATTTTTGTCGGGCACAAAGTTCTCACAGCTCCAAGGCAAAGCAGGCCGCAGGGAGTGAACTATGAATATCAATGGCACAATGGCAAAGATGCCATAGTACAATAGACTCGCCAAACTTAGTATCAAACTCATATAACCCATTCCTAAATAGCAAAATATTAATATGAAAATCCAAGTCCTATATATGCTTATATTACCTTTGAAAAAGGGCGACACCCGAAAGGAGGAGATGAAGCCGCTGCTAGAGAATTGACCCATAAACGAGTGTATGACCATAATGGGCACCAGATAGAGAGCCATATAGATGTAGTAGGGTAACATGCCAAACACTGAAAAAAAGGAATGAAGAGAGTTGATGTAAATGTGAAAACAGTTTTTCCCGGATTTGATTTCCTTTACAAATCTAAGCTTTTCGTAAAATGCTTGCCTGACCAACTTTATGATATAGTTAGATATGCTTATCAGATCTAAATATTCCTCATCGTCCAAGCATTTAGTTTCTATCCGATAAGCTGTTTTAGAAATATATCTTTAAAAAAATAAAATTAAAAACAAAACCATGATACCCCGATTTCTCATTTTTAATGGGTTCAGGGTATAATAAATAAATGCCTATGACTAATCAAAAAAATATGCAAGCACAACTTTTAATACAGAACAATTATATATTTATATATATTTGTAAATACATATATATATTACTATTCAGCATATGTCATATATAACAATTAATTACCATAAATTATCAGCTATCATATTTCTCTTCATTGAAAATATTTATTCAGCCAAGGCCCTTTTTATCAAAACTATATATGAACATTATATAAGTGCGTGCTAAACTATTGCAAGTGCATTTCATTTCAACGCCCCTAAATTTAAAAACATATTATAAATACCATAAATATCCAATAACATATGCTAATTGAGTTTTGATTATGAAAAACATTTGATTTATTGGGATTATAATTAAATTACTCCATCATATATATTCTTATAAGCTATATGTATTTTCAACCAATTTCTGATGAATCGGCACAAAATGAGTGTAAGCATTTCTCGCCTTGACTTTGAACTCAATCAAATTCCCATCTTATTGTCATAAGCAACTGATTACGGCCCAGAATTTAATAGAAATGTTTGCTATGGATAAGAATGAAAGTTTCTTGAAACCTGCCTAATCTCCGACTGATTATGGCTTGTTTTTGTTAATTACTAACTATCAATAAATAAATGACCTCAAAGAGTTTAAAAACTAAAAGAGGTCACTGAAAGAAAATTATTGCATTCCTCAGATTATGTACATAGAATTTCTTGATCTCACCTCATGGCTGTCGAATTGATAAGCTTATCAATATCAGTCTCAACAATTTCTATTGCATTTTTCATTTCATTTAAAACTGACACACACACAAACACACATATATGTATATACTTACAGCCCATGTCGAAATAGAACCAATACGAAATAACAAATAGATCCAATTTAAGCGCCAGACCGAAGCAGGCGTAAATGAAATCCGTTGGCTTTTCCCATTTTCCACGATTCGGATCTGGTTTGAATGGCTTGCGGCCGCTCTCGTAGGACGTTTCGTAAACCATTTTATTGGCAGCAGCTGATAGCAGTTATCGTCGAATATATTTATATATGTATGTGTGTATATATATATATATATATGACTGCACCGAATATAAATTAGCTTTATATAGAAATTGAATCACAGCATCCAATGCATCGCGTATACTACATAAACATAAAACGAAAACAAACAAAAACATAAAAGAAAGACAACAAAATGAATGTTTAAACAAAATGCGATTAACACACGACGCAATGTCGCTGTGAATTTTAATTAATTTTGTCTATTTCGTTGTCGTTGTTATTTATTCTTAGTTTATACTTTTATTATTATTATTTTTATTTTTGTTTTTGGTTGGTTTTTCGCGCGCCCGCTTACTTTAAATTGACGTTCTAATTAGAAGAGACGATGCCGGCAGACTGAATGTGAGGCCTGCGAGAGCATCCGTAGCATCCATCCATGCATTGGATAGATACTTTTTTCATTTTTCATTATCAACGCTGGCCGCTGTCTATATAAATACAGCAACAGTTTGCCAAGTTCTCAGCGGCAGCAGCAGCTGACACGTAATACATAGTACATTGAGAGAAATCCAAATGGGCTGAGCAAAAAATTTGATATTTGCATTGAAAACACATCGCGGCGACCGCAGTACATGACATTGCATTGATTAGAAATACGTCGAAGATTTCAATATTTATAATATAAGTATATATAAATATGTATTTATGTATGTATGCAATCATATACATATATAGAATCAGTTCGCGATTTTTCATACATTTCACAGCGAAAAGTTTTCTGAACAAAATATACGCAATATATGTATATATACAGAAATATTTCAAAATAAACTTTTTGCTCAATTTCAAAATCTTAGCCATTAAAAAAATAAAGAAAATAAAAAAATAACCGAAAGAAAAGTAAACACACTCAAAAATTTTGATTTGTTTATTTTCAAGCAGAATTTGAATTGCAGTGTAAAAAGGCAACAGCCGTCTCTTGTCCATTTTTGAATTTTATTTTTTATACTCATTCATGAAAGTGAATCAGTATATTGGTTTTGTGCAATGTCCGTCTTGCTGTCCGTCCGTCTGTCCGTCCGTCCGTCTGTCCGTCTGTCCGTCTGTCCGTATGAACGCAATCTATTTCGGCGATATTGAAGCTAGAGACTTGAAATTTGGAGCACATACTCGTGTATATCTCCGATTTATAAAGTGTTAAAATTTTCCCGATCCGCCCACTAGGGGCGTGGCAAATCGGAAAATGCATTTTCCGATATACCAGAAATCATGTTAGTTAAAGAGCTAGAAAGCTGAAATTTGGTATGGCGGATATATCTACGCCCATTGGGGGCGTGGCAAATCGGATAAAACTGTATCTCCTAAAGTTGTAAACCTAGAATGCTGAAATTTTGCACGTCAGCTAATGGTATGATTCTATAAAGTCTAAAGATAAATTATAAGTCTACGCCCATTGGGGGCGTGGCAAATCGGACCTGAAGATATAGTGATTTTTTAAATTCTCCTATATTTTGGACACTATTGATGGCAGAGACCTCAAATTTTGTATATATACTCGGACTGATCACTCAAGACCAAAAAGTTTTGTCGTATATATGTCCGCCCACAGGGGGCGTGGCAAACCGCAAAAGTTTATATCTCCTAAAGTATAATAGCTAGAAGCTTCAAATTTTGATAGTTGAGTTACTGGTAGCCTCCTCTATCGATTCCCCAAAAATAATTTTTACGCCTCTTTAGGGGCGTGGCATATCGAAAAATACCCTGTAATTTTCACATTTCTTGAGGGTAAGCATTCAAACTTTGCAGTTAGGGTACTGTTATCTCTTTCTAAAAACTGACCAAAAATGAGGTGTCTACGCCCAGTTGGGGCGTGGCAAATCGGAAAAACCTGTATATTCTACAGTATTAGAGCGAAACTCAACTACTAAATTGTTGATGGGATGTGAATGAGTATTCCGCAGTTGGTAACGCCCGACTGCAACGTTCTTACTTGTTTAATTATTTGTTCCCTGTAAAGCCGATCATGTGCTTTATTTATTACTAATCTGGCGAAACAATCGCATATTGCATTTACATAGAAATATTTATATATATGATATATATTTATATATATGAATATTTAATTATGAGTGCCAAGCATACACACATACATATTTGTGCAATGCCAAAAAGTATGCAAGCAATGTAAGTAAATTACATAAAAGCAAGTTGAGCTTGGAAATAACGAAGATTTAATACCATAGAGAATCAACATCTGGATACTATTTAAGAGTTTTTCTTTTAGACATTATTTATAAATTATAAATTATAATCAAGGCGGCATCAAATGGAACTAGTTCCAACATGGAAGTTGGAGAACTTAATAGCCTTGAGAAGTGAGTGAGTATATGGAAATCCATTCTTAAACCAGGCTCAAGCCAACTGTACTCCAAGTGATATTTCTGTGTCTATAACTATATACAAAATATTTATTAAACTAAATAAAATTTCAAAATAAGAAAAAGCTTTCATTTAAAATTGTTTAAAAGCTCTTTGCTGTTTTATTCATACAGATATATGTATGTATATCTAACATATATATGCAACTACAAATATCACCAGTTAATTGTTCTCTATAACTAGATTTGGGAAATATCAGTACATTCAATAAAAACGAAATAGCTTGCGCTCATCTAAAATATTTCAGCTGTTCAATGCACAAAATTGGGTTCAGTTCGACCTGAGCTGCAGGTCCATCGCTTAAGTACAATATCAAAATAAAAATTAAAAATATAATGAGTAAGTTAGGCACTATGCAGTTTTGCTAGGCGGCGTTGCCATTGTCAATGACAAGCATTTCGGAGGTGCCCATGATCTCCTCATAGAACCGGCGATTGTCCGCATTCACCGGATGCCAATCGTGCGGAGAGAAGCATTGCCGCATCCGTTTGCGCCAGTTGCCGTTGGTCTGGCAGAGTCGGTAGACCATGTAGCCCAGGGCAACCAGATATATCAGACTCTGACTGACCCAAATCAAGGTGTCCTCGACACCATTCGCCGACATCATATAGATAGTCTGCCACTGAAAATACCGAAAATTGCAGCTCATTTAAATATCAGACTAAATATCTATGGAGCATACCAAAGCGACTCCGAGGAAAAAGGGCACCACGAAGCGTATGCAAGTTATCTTAAAATTTGAGATCGTTTTCCCCAGCATGAATTGGAGATCACATTGGAAGCGCACGCGTCCATAAATCCAAGTGGCCATTACTATTAACAAGGCTGAGATGATGATCTGTGTGAATACCGACATGTAGGACAGGGCGCTAACTTGGCTAAAGCCCAACTACAAGAAATAGTTACTGATATTAGCCGCGTCTATTTATAAAGTAGTCATAAACAAACCTTTGTGCAGAAATAAATGGATATGAGCATCAGCCACAGAACCAGGAATATCGTAATGGTTCTCTTTCTGGGTCGCAGCTGCTCGAACTCATCAAAGATGGCCGTCAAAACCGACATCATTTGAATGATCTGTAAAAGGGAAGAAGATATAGATTCTGATAGAAATGTTTATTTAGATATTCATATTACCAATGCACTCAACTCGGCTAGAGAGATGATGGTAAAGAATAGGAAAGACCAGAGTCGCGGCATTGTTGTAAAACTGCCCAGAAGATACGCATGGGCCAGATAAAGGAACTGCATCGTATGCTTCTTCTCCACATGCCACATGGCCACATGCACTAGAATAGAAATATAAATAAAAACACATTTAATATCTATACTAGAATTCATTAGAATCTTGAACTCACATTCAAAATGATCGTTGGCCACATGCCCGCAGATCAAGGCCATCATCGTGATGAGCACGTGGGTGATGCATACCCAAATGCTGAGGCGTTCGGAATCGCTGCGAAAACTATTGTAACTGCCGAGCGTTATGATGCTGCCCCAGCCAGGACCCAGCACCATGCTCGCCTGCAATATGGCCGTGCCCAGTCCGGCCTGGATGGCGCTCCAGCTGGGTACTGTGGGATGCAGATACTCAAGGAATGACTGCCAGTTAACCTGCTCGTGGATCACCAGGTAAGCGAAGACAGCCACAAAGAAGCTGAACATTACAACCCCAGCACAGCGCAATGCTTTGCCAATCTGCAAGTTAAGATTAAAGATGAGCTTTGCCCATATGAAATACTATTTTCTGCTTCTACCAATGAGACGTTGCTCAGCAGCAGCACGAGCACAATGCACCAGATGCCCATAATGGCGAGCACCATAGGCCAGGATATGGTCCAAGAGCTGGAATCTGAGGTTATCGATCCTATCACAGAGCTGAAGAGGAAATTTATAAATATTATGACAAATTAATATGTATATTTACAGAACTTACTGAAAGAATTCTACAATCGCATGCGGCTTTTGTACCAGCGCCTGTGAATATATAGAACGTATGATTAGCTAAATATAATACGAATAAATATTATCCGGGTTTGTTCGATTAAAGGTCTTATATATATTTAAATTTGTATATTTGCAAATTTGAACTTGGATTTAAGAAACACGATTTTAATTTACTTTTAATATAGAAATAAAGTTGCCTTTGAGTTCGTGAATTGACTAAGTCGTAGATCTATCTATCTTATCATAACAGAAAATACATTTTGACCTTTAACACAAATTGATTTACTTTAATTCCACCCATTATCCACATATTACAGTGGATTTGAATTCACTAGCTGATTGAGATCAAATTGTATTATAAAGATGTCTCTCAATTTATTTTCTTTCTTGTTTTATTTTCTCAATTGTCAATCATTACCCATAACACACAGTTCTATCTATTGCTTATGTGCTTAGATGACTTACATCCTCATTATATTCACTGTGCGTGGAACACTCGGGCGTATTCCACGTATTGTTGCAGCTCATCCAGGGCAAAACTTTACGCAGCGAATTGACGGCATAGATGAATGGCACAGCCGCATTTATGCTATAGTACGTGAGTGTGCCCAGATTAAGCAATAAAATGGAATAACCAATGCCTGAAGTTAGATTCGTAATGAGTCAAAAATATATACATATATAGAAAAGAGAGAAAACCGTTTAAATCACAAGACTTACCCTTGAATATGGGCGAGACACGAAATGCCGAAATGGCGCCCGATGTGGAAAATTGTCCCAAAAAAGTTTGTATCAGAAATATGGGCAGTGAATAAAAACAAACTGACAACAGATAAGCACTTAGATAGTATTCTGAAAGATATAAAAAAAAAAACAAAAAGGTTAGAATAAGGAAATATCAGATAATAATACAAACTATTATATAGAATATAGGTTCCTATTTCAAATAAACAAGGATGAGTCAGAAGGCTGAGTAGAAGGCGCATGCTGAGCTAAAGATTAAAACAGACTTAAATAATATTACTCATACGCCTCGTTGTGCGCCGTGAAAATCTGTTTTGAAGTGCATT